ACTGAGTTGTAAAGTCTTTTTTTTATAATTATTGTTTTATCAGTAGTTTACTGAGTTGTAAAGTCTTTTTTTTATCATTATTGTTTTATCAGTAGTTTACTGAGTTGTAAAGTCTTTTTTTATCATTATTGTTTTATCAGTAGTTTACCGAGTTGTAAAGTCTTTTTTCTATCATTATTGTTTTATCAGTAGTTTACCGAGTTGTAAAGTCTTTTTTTATCATTATTGTTTTATCAGTAGTTTACTGAGCGTAAGGTCTTTTTTTTATCATTATTGTTTTATCAGTAGTTTACTGAGCCGTAAGGTCTTTTTTATCATTATTGTTTTATCAGTAGTTTACTGAGTTGTAAAGTCTTTTTTATCATTATTGTTTTATCAGTAGTTTACTGAGTTGTAAAGTCTTTTTTATCATTATTGTTGTTCATTCACGTTCAACATGCTTGGTCAATTTCCAAGAAATCACCAACTTTATCCCCGCTACTGGTCAAACAACCAATAATATATTTATTATTAGCTTACCTCTTCTGACAATGTGAGTTCATCTTTCAGTTTAAACTAATCTGTACCAGAAAGAGTGACATAAATCAACGTTTTAACTACTAAATGTTAGACTCGAGTCAAGTACATTGTAACGATAGTTAGAGTTAAGCCGGATATTTCTGGTCCAACATTTGTTTTCTAATTGATAAGCATTTCAATTTAAAGAGTGTCTTATCTTTATTTTGGTGACGGAATTATGAATTATCGCTTAAAAAAAACAAACTTTTATGGGGTATGAATTAATAATAACAAAAATCCATGTCAGACACATTTACGTTTTGCAAGTGCGGCTACATATTATATTTTTTATTATATAATTGTTTTTATCTATTTTCGAACAGAGGATCGTAAACTCTTTGTGGGCATGCTCAGTAAGCAGCAAACAGAAGAAGACGTTCGACAATTATTTCAACCTTATGGAACAATAGATGAGTGTACCATCCTCCGGGGACCTGATGGCCAGAGTAAAGGTAAGTGTAGCTCAGAGTATGCTGGGAGCTTAGAAGTCCCGGAAAATGAGTCCTTTCTCATGTAATCTCTCAAAATGTCACTAAAATGCAATATTTGTTAAAAAAGCTCATATACTGCTGTGTCGAGTAAACCGAGACTCTTATAGTATCCGTGACCCGTATGTTCATCGTTAAGTCTCTCCTGAAATGGAGACTTTTGAAGTGGATGATTAGGGGAAATGTCAATTCTCGACTTTAACAAGAGCAGGATCATAATATCGGTTAGACTTTGTGAAAGGATCTTGAATTATCGTGTTCTGACTAATTAGGACCGTTTGTCGAAAGGAAAATTTTTCTCATTGAAAAGTTCAGTCCTAAGAACTATCTACCGATCAAAATTAATGGATATCTCAAGTTTTCCATGGAATAAAGTCACCGTACTGAAAAATCGTTTATTTATCTCAGGAAATTCATGCGAGATGTAAAATATTCCTCATTTAGAAGCATTGATTTTAGAGCGTGCGCAAACTTTTTAGTTTATTAATGGACTATGGACTTATTACTTAAAGGATGCTACAGGGAAGAGTGTACGGGCAAAGATCTGCCTGCGAATAGAGCATTAGTCAGAAAGTGGTTATTGTGATGGTTATTTAGAAGCTAAATATAGAATCCTACGCTTTCGTGGAGACGACCTAAATTATGGTGTGGGAACAGAGTGCGGGTAGTGTATGTTGTCGACAGATTAATTGTTCTAGCTTAATGTTAAACGGTAGCGTATTACGAAACGTAAATAACTAGATGAGTGAATGATTCGAGAAATAAGATAATATGGTGATGTCAACAACGCATATGAAGTGAAGTATGCCATTCAGCACAAAATTCGGAAAAACAAGAAGGAACCCTCAATAGCCGCGGCTGTAATTAATTCTCAAATCGGTCAAGAGATGGAGATATGAGCTAAAAATTTGTACTTGAAAAAAAAAAAAGCAACACTCAGATCCATTCCATGAGCCGTGGCTAAAAAAGTCGGCTTATCAGTAGTGCTACCCTACTTGTCATTATGTATCTCAAAATAACTGTGCATCAGATATGAAGGCAGAACTTTCACAAAAGACATGCTGCGTGGGTGAAGTGTTTGGGGTTCTGTTTTACGTAATAAAACCAAGCTCTGTATTCTTATAACAAAAAGGAACACTCGTCGTGAAACTATTATAAGGATAACACCTAAAGGCAAGTAACACACACTGTGAAACTACTACACGGATAACACCTAAAGACAAGTAACACACACTGTAAAACTATTATACGGATAACACCTAAAGGCAAGTAACATGGACTGTGAAACTATTATACGGATAACACCTAAAGGCAAGGAACACGGACTGTGAAACTATTATACAGATAACACCTAAAG